TATTCATCTGTGATTTGATTGATATTTTGATTTTGCTCCGCATGTTTTTCAAAATTCTCAAGTTGTCTGTAAAACATATCTGTTCGTGATATCTGTTATTTGAAGACAGAATGATATTTTGAGACAATTATAACAATCTTACTTCATTAAATTTGTATTTTGTTCATGTAATTCCATATTTATCCTGCTTACGTCGATTAACTTTGATTCTCTCGCTTCTAAAATCTCGGTCATCTCCTGTATTCGTTTCAATAATTTTTCAATTTCCATATTTGTTTCATCCGATCCTACGCTGATTTCGCTCAATTCTCGAGAATGACCTCGAGTCTTTAAAGTTTTTGTTAACAAATCACCACCTTTACTCAATTGCAATTTCGCCGGACTCTGTCGCGATTGAGTCGAACTTGAATCTCCGTTAGGACTGTTGACAAATAATATATTAATCTGATGTTGATATATTGAATGTTAAATACAAAACATATTATATTCATACCTAGATATTATTTCGATGTCGCTCGATGTTGTAGTTTCTAATTCGTCTCCACTTGTATGTCCACTGGCTTGATCAGATCCAATTTTTACAAGATCGGAACGACTATAAAAGTAGATTTTTTTTTATAGAAAAGTGATTATAAATTTGAATAAAGTATATGTGAATTAAATAATACCTTTCTGACGATATAGGCGAATTTTCTCGCAGTACTTCCGTGCACTGGGTCTCCATATCAATTATTTCACTTTTTTCGACCATAGCGTCAGCTAGCATAGTCTTCACATAAGAACTAGTAGTTAAAGGCGTCTCTAGGACTTTGGAATCGTTCGTGCAGATTAATGTTGCGTTATCCTCCGAACTGCTCTCTATCAAGGTACCTTCCCTGCTCGAATCGGTAGATATAAAATATTGGTCAGTATTACTTTCAATCATTTTTGTTTCTTCTAGGTTTTCGATTTGATTATCTGGATCCGGTGGTTCTATAGTGGTACTCATTAATTGGGAAAAGGTGGAAACGTCCGATTTCTCATTTACTCCTTCCAAATGATCCAATTTGCGAATTGGCTGTGTGGTAATTGGCTCAAGTGTCAGATGCAAATTATGTTTCTCTTTCAGTGAATCAAGACTTAAGTTTAACTTGTTCTCTGTGCAAGTCTTTGTTGAGATTTGCCTATCATCCGGACACGAATCGTGCATCTTTATAAGTACTTTTATATCGCTCAGTTCTACCTTATTTTTAGTCGTATCCATTTGTTGTAACGGTTCAAATACTGTCATGACTGTACCTTCTGAAGCTGAAGTGTAAGAATCTTCGGCCAAGCTTACTTCGTCTGTTTCGTCTACGTCCGGTATCACTTCGACGCTTTCAGGGGAGGTTTTTGAGTCGTTTGTCGCGTCTGTCAAACTTTTATTTGTGTCCAAGCTAGAAAACGTATTGGGTGACGGTGTACTATCAACGCTGTTAGGATATGGACTGACGTTCAATGTTTTGATCTCCTCCATCGGAGATTCATATGGTGAGATGTCGGACGATGAAGCTTCCGCGAATTGATCTCTACTTGGCGGTTGTAACATGTCGGTGCAGTCTATGCATGGAGTAGCACATTCATCTTCGCCCAAAACAGAAGATGACTCTAGATTTTTTTGATCTATTGGAGATAGATAAGGACTGCTGTCGCTCTTCCAATCTCCTAGGATCTCCACCGAGCTCGGTGACGTTACCAAACTGTCGGGCAGTATCTCAACCGATTCGGAATTTACCTTGATATCAATGACAGAGGGACTTAATGAGTTAGTAACAGAATTAGGGTCTGATTCCGGTGTGGTAGTGCAATCGGTGTTAGATTGCGAACCAAGTATCTCCACACTCTCCAGACTCTTCTTATCGCTCTCAGAGGAAACATTAGGTACTTGGTGGAACACATTAGTGAGATTCAATGTGTGATTGATATCGTTGCTTTCTGATGCCACTTCGTTGTCATATTGTTCTTCTTCTTCCCTGTCAGAGCTTGTCGTAGAATCACTGTCGGTATTGTCGGCCGTTGGTGCATAGTATACTTGTTCCAAGTCTAAACTGGTACTTTTAGTCTTATCGGTACTAATAGAAACAACATTGTCTAGAGACGATTGTTCTGATAATATACAAGATTCTGACATAGTTTTTTCATTAGATTCTTTAGATATGCTACGATTAGTATTTACAGATTCACTGATAGTACTAGACTCTCCTTTATCTTCCTTATATACAGACTCACTCTTTGCTATTGCAGACTTTGAGTCCTTTGTCACCAATTTTTCAGGAGCGGAAGTAGAAGACACCATGGTGTGTTGTTCATCTTGATTCATAGTACTTTGCAAGGACTTGGAATGCTTGACAGTCTTCCATCCATTCCCGTCTATTTTTGTAGGTTCAAAAAATGAGCCTGTAAAGCTACCCCAAATACTATTCGAGTTTGGTTGTTTCTGTGGATCGCTGTCACGTTTGATAGTCTCCTGTTCATTCTGTATTCCCCAACTCGTAAAAAAATCTGAAGTTTCCGCTGCATGCGACTGAATCACCTTCGGTTCTTCTTCCTTGATATCCAAAGCCTTGTCAATGGTCTTCTGTGCTCCCTTCAAAGCAGACTTTGCCAAATTGGCAAATCCCGTGGCATCAAACCAGCTCATATTTTATGCCTACAAGAGAAACAAAATAAATCATGAATTCTACTGTGCAAGATACAAATAAATACAATGTAACCTTTACAATGTATAGAACATGCGACAAAAACAAAGTGCTTGCAAAATACATACGGTAAAGTTAAATTAAATGAAGACGCGCATGTTCTTTAAGCCGTGTTCCATAAACCGTCGACGGGAAATTAACGTCGCGATAAGCAAGAATGTTTCGACTCTCAAAAACAAGCATGCTACCGCGTTGTTACGTGGCATTTGCTCGCGTTCCTTCCGCCTCGTGTCACCACGATTTACGTACATGACATCCTCTGGGGCGATGATCGTGACGATGAGGCGCGGTCTCAGGATCGGTGGCGGATTCTCCTTTTTCTCACATGACTGTCAAAATGTATTTAGCAGCCGACATGTTCGCGAAGAGTGTCGTGGTCGTGCGTGCTGTGTCGCAGCTAGTGTTATCAATCTCCGTTTCTCACGGTATTCGCACCAAAGGCTTTCCTTCCTCGCTCTGTTTGTTTATGTTTTTCTTGATCTCCACTGATTTTTCGGTCGCATTTCCTTGAGGATGCGAAACGCGATCAATCACGTAATACGCACAATCTAAACTTCACGATGCGAAAACATGAACATCGTGATCGGAATCAAATTTCATTTCAACTGCACCTTCTGCACTTTTTTCACCTTCTCTCTCTCTCTCTCTCTCTCTATTCTAACCTAAGAGTTTGACCTAAATCTGTTTCATTTTGATCCTGTCATTCACCTGTCATTAACTTTGTAGGCTCGAGGATACTCGAATAATAAACAAAAGTGTATTCTTTAATTTCGTTTGTTCAGTATTTTTTTGTAAATTCTATACCTGCGTTTCTCTCTTTCTTCCTGAATATATCTATTGCGCATTTTTAAAGGAAAGTGCAGATTCAATTGGAAATCAAGTAACGATAAAATCTTAGTCATGAGTTGTCAAATAGACGTCATCAATTTCCTTGCGAATTGAAGTCGAGCGTGTAATAAAACAAATAAATACAATGCATGAATACATTGAGTATGTTGGACACTTGGCGACTATTCAAGAAATTTAAAGTTCGTTTCTACTTCAACTCGATTTTTGTAAAAATGTTGAAATCATTTATAATGCGCAAATTAATAATACGTGAAATAAGAGCAAGAAGCTTTCGGTATTAGCAATACTATCGCTGAAGAGTCCCGTTTACGACGACCAATTCCAACAGCTCCAGTGGCGCAATTGGTTAGCGCACGGTACTTATAGAGCAGTTCTCGTGAGCAATGCCGGGGTTGTGAGTTCGAGCCTCACCTGGAGCAATTTTTTTTTTCAATTTTATGCAAATCGATTTGATAGTTTCATAATTTCTCGCGCTTATCATTACCTCTATGCGATCAATTACATTAATTATTAAACAATAATCAACATTAGACTGTACAATAATTTCAACACATAATGAGGATAATTTGTTACATTGTAATAAATTATACCGTATATTATAATGTAATCGAATATTAATTTTAAATGTTAAATATTATTTTAGAATTAAACATTAATGTGGCAAAATTTATATTAATATATAAAATTTTTCTAAATAATTAATAATAAAATATATAAAATATTTTCACAATAAAAATTGATCAAAAATTTTAACTTTAAGAATCCATTACAAGATTTTCAATGATTTTGGGATATAAAATAAATGTAGCATACTAAATAATACACATACATTAAAATGTATGTACATTATGTAAGTACATCAATTTAATGTAATAAATTTAATACAATATTGTATTAAATTTTACGTAGGATACATATATATATATAGCTTATCGAGTTAAAGAGATATATACATATTTAAATGGTATGCATATATATTTCATTATTATCAATGTAAGATATAACTATACACTTAACGATTTCTTTTAGAAAAACATATTAAGCGGTATATAAAGCGCGCAATATCAGAGATTGTCAACTTAGAAATCTGCAAATGGACATGCGAATGTATGCGAGTCACAGAGAGACCTTCTGACCTAAATTGATCGAGATATAATGAACAGCGTGAGAGTGACGACGACAGATCCTGCCGTTATCATTATTAATGGCAGCCGCGTTAAAATCGAGGATGCGAATGATGTTTTATGCTAAGTACCTAATCGTCAACCAAATCACGAAATGCGGTACCTATTAAATCGTCTGGTGGTCGATGTTCACCGATGTTGTTCGTCAGGCGAATCAATAACCACCGGAATCCGGTTTTGTGAAGGTATGCGCTTTAAAAGCGCTTTAAAAGCCCACCCACGGCTTCGCCGATCGTCAGTCGCACCCTGCTATTCAGTATGTCTCAATATTATAATTCGCAATACAAAATGTGTTCAACGCAGGTGAATCTCGAATTGTCTAATTTTCAATTCATAAAAGAATTTTAAGTTTTTCGAAAATATAAAAACTTTAAATTACATACATTCAAAAGGAGACTTAAGTTAAACTACTTTTATGCTTAATTCATTATACTATAATTATCAAACTAATTCATCAAACTAATGGGCGATCATTGCAGATATATCGGTGGCTCCTCTTCATCAGCATAATATCCTTAGAGAACCTCGCGAACGAATTTGAGTCGCAAGATGCTATCTTTGTGAATTTCCATCGCAGACGCAACATTTCGAAGGTAGCGATACTTCACGACAACAGTTATTTACCTCCAACTTCGATTCCGGATTTCTCCCTGCCGGAAGTGATCAATAACAGAGCTCGGAACGTAGCGGTCGCGGTAACGGACGAGACCAGAAACTATCCCAACGCGTTGTATCGTCTTCCTGAACGGGATTCCTTGCGAATCCCCACGCGCAAGGGTTCGTACGACACGAGGTATCCGGGGAGCGACGGGTTGCGAATACCTCTGCATCATCGTCGACCTACTTTCCAACAAGGCAAACACCCTCAACAGACCACAACGCAGCCTCCTTCTCCTTTCGGTGAAACATCACCATCCTTCGTAAACCGCGTTAGCGTTGAGGAGATGTCCTGTCAGAACACGAGAGACGAATTGTTCTTCAGGTAATGAAACTCAAGAAGATTTTAACTCTTTTACCGCATCTATAAGCTAATCTTTGCCATATTTTTCAAATTTAAGATAAACATTTGTACACTTTGCAATAAGACAAAAGAAAGATCAAGATTGATATTTGGCACAACTAAACAATTCATCAATCACACACATTTGATTTTAATTTTGATAATTAAATTTAATATATAACTAAATTAAATTAATTTTAATGAGATGTGTGATATTTTGAATTTGATAATCAATATGTATCATAATTACAGAGCAACCATCAAAGCGAAGAATTCAGTTCCACCGGTGATAGACAACGTGATGGGTGATACTTGTCGGGCAATAGCAGTCAGGGACTCTTATCGCATTAGTTTTGAGAAAGACCAAGTCTGGAATTGCGGGGTCGTTGATTGTTCTACGGATGGCAACCAATCATATTGTCTCGATCTGAGATTCCCCGTGATCTCCGGTCTACGACTGAAGGACGACCATAGAGTAACGCTGCGATGTAAGACCCAGAACAGAATCGCATATCATACGAGACAGATCAGCGTGAAGACTTTAGAAGCGTAAGACGCGTCATTTGTCTTCTGACGAAAGTAGCAAAAATAAACATCCCTCTGGCGCGGAAAACGATTTATTCAGATATATTATGTATCCTTCCATAGGAAAGCGAGGAACATACCAGGCGTGCTAAACGGCGGTGCTGAAAATGCCCTGAATATTGACGTTGGACTATTCAGGAAGACTTACGGCTCAAAAAACATTTTCGACACGAAAATACAATCGGGTGGCACGGTCGTCTTAGGCGAAGAGATTTTGTTACGCGTATTAGTCAACGGCAACGACAGTAAGCACTTTAGTACTGAACGGTGACAGTACACTTTTATTTCTTTAGTAAGACGAATGGCATACCTGGGGCACCAACATTACTTCATGTAACATACGATTCGCTAAATCGATAATTTCAGCTCACAAAGAGTAAGACATACAAGAGATACATATAAAGAAAAATCAGTCATATAATCCTATTAAATTGATATATAAAATTAATCTCAAGCAAAAGTTGATTAATTACACAATTAAGATCGTAAATTAAGATTATATAATTAAGATCGTTAACTATATAATTATTTATAATTATACTAATATGAGAATAGATTTAAATGATGAAAATTAATTATTTACGCAATCTTAATTATTTTAATTTTCATTTTTTAAATTTATCTTTTCGCATGTTCAAAGGCTGGCGACACTCAAAGATCGGCCAAGTGACAATACATTACATAGAAGAGCAACAGCGGCAGAAAATCGTTAACAGTCTGTTGATTCTCGATAAGGATGGTTGCTTGAATCCGGACGTGCACGAGATTTGTCCTCGCGAGCAATATGCGATGTCACCGTTGGAGAGCTACGTAATTTTCCAGGCGTTCATGTTTGAGGGCATGAAAGAGACCGACGAGATTTTCCTCACTGTGAAGGCCATGGCATGTGTAGAATCTGTGGACTGTGTTCTGGACTGTCCCGGCAGTCACATTAGACGTGCTAGAAGTATCTTGGATCGAAACAATACTGTCGAGTGGCAGGATGACATTGTTCTGCGAGTGGTTCTTCCAAAATACGAAACACGCGCTTTACAGAATTATTATTTAGCAATCCTGTTATCAGCGACTGCGTTACTCGTGTTAATCGCGTTGTTGTGGATCGTCAGAACCTCGCTTCGTCAAAGGATAACAAAATTCTAAATAATCTTAAATGTTTAATTTATTTATATCTCTATGATTGTATATAAAATTTCAAACTGTATATAGCTGTATATTGAATAAATGAGTTATTGTACACATTCGATTAATGGTGTCTCGTTAATCTAAATGCAAATCGTCGCGTTCTATAAGAGGCTTAGGTGAAGATTACGTGTTGGCCATTATCGATATTTTGGTCTTATGAAATGCGATTCGGCATCTCCCACGCATCCAGCTCGGAGCACAGTTTCAATCCGACTGCAAACAATGCAAGAGACGCGAATATACTCTTCACAAATGGATCCCTGCTCAAAGTGTATACCATACAAGCCAAAGAGCACGTGCATACGTCCTCGAAGTAGCTGAAACCTTTCGTCAGATAATAATGATCTACGATTCGCTGCCGTATCTTCAATTTGCGCATAATGCGTTCTGCAATAGGAACGAATCTTGATTTGTAGAAACCTAAACTGATATACATATATGTATATGGGAAATATACTATATATAAGTACCTCCAGAAAAGAAGATCAATATAATATAGAAGACAACAAGTACTGAGTTTTTTTTTTTTTTTGAAAATAAGCAAATTGCTTGCCTTTCTGCTCTTTTACTAAAGGACATGTTTCCTCGCAAGCATCTTCTACGACTGCAGGTTTACGCGAGACGATCCGCTCTGCTATCTTCGAGTTCTCGGGAGCTCGTTTTACAGATACTTCTTCTCTAACCGGTCGTTCTTCAGGCATTGCGGTCACTGCTTCTCGCTCCCTCGATGGTCTGACAGGTCTTTCGTGATCGATTTTCTCGTATAAGGTGGCCGCATTCCTGGAAATTTCAGTACGCACCGCCCTCGGCTCCTCCGGAATTTCCCTCGCTATTACGGCGGGTAGAAACTCCTGCAATTCCTCGTCGATATATTGCTCATAGTCAGTTTTGCCCTCTTCCTCTTCGTCATATACCATAGGCTCCTCTGGCACGACTGAAATTATCGTTTAAAATTACCATCAGTCAAATTTCTCTGTAAGTCATATCTCAATAATTATTTTTAATTACAATGCTCTTCTAATTCCTGCGACGGTTCCAATTCAATTATTGGTGCTGGTGCCTGTTCAATTTTGTTTTTTATAATCTCAGGTTTCTCAATCGGAACTTCCTTTATAAGTTCTTCTGCGATTCTTTTCATGATTAGGTCTTTCTCTTCAACGAAATTAATCTTTTCATCATTGCTATCTGCTATCCTTTCTATCGAACTGACAGTTTCTTTCTGGACGATCACAGCTTCTTGGTCTATTTTTTCTTCTGTAATCAAATCTATTTTTTTTCCATCGCGATCTACTATTTCTTCTGTCGGACTGACAATTTCTTTCTCGACAATTTTTTCAACAAAATCAATTTTCTCTTCATCGCGATTTATTATTTTTTTTATCGGAACGACAGGTTTTTCCGGGATAATTGCGGGTTCTTCGATTAATTTTTCTTCGACAAGATCAATTTTCTCTTCATCACGATCTATTTCTTTTTTTATTGGAATGACAGGTTTTTCCGGAACGATTATGGGTACTTGAACTAATTCTTTTCCTTCAACAAGATCAATTTTCTCTTCATCGCGATCTATTCCTTTTTTTATTGGAGTGACAAGTTTTTCCGGAATGATTGTGGGTTTTTGAACTAATTCTTCTTCAATTAAATCAATTTTCTTTTCATCGAGATCATTTATCTTTTCTATTGAAGTGATAGGTTCTTCTGGGATGATTTCTTTGATTAATTTCTCTTTTTCCAAATCAATTTTTTCTTCAGTATCATTAACTATCTTTTCTGTTGAGATGACAGTTGGTTCCTTAACGACCGGAAACTCCGGGAAAGCCACTGGTTTGGCTTCGATGTCCTTTAACTCTTCAGATCGTACATCATTGATGGGTACATGTACTGTCTCGATTACACGGTTCGGTTCGTCTCGTATAGCTCTCGAAATAATATCCGACGGAAGTCGCGGTTCCACATCGTTCTTCTTCCGCGGAAAAATCCCGTCTGTTACATTAGGCAATTCCTTGACTGTTTTACGAAGATAGAAACATTTACTCAAAACGTATTTATTGTGCGTTTTTAAAACATTAAAATTTATTAATAATTTTATTAATTTATTAATAATTTTATCAATTTATTAATAACGCGTTCAAAGACATCTTATAAAGAGACATACTTGCGATACGGAGCTGTTCTCTGACTTTGGGACAAGTTACGGGACATCGGTTTTTTATAGAGTCACGGGACATTTAGAATGTATAATATTTCGCGCTTCCGCAGATTACATATTTATATACGAGACATTCATTATTTCACAATTTCGCAAAAATAGCGAAATGTGATCTAAACAACTTTTATTGTCTATATTTTAACATTGTTAATATTCTGCTTCCATCTTTTGTTGATGTTGACATGCCAATTTCATCTATATTTAAGTTATCTAAAGTTTGCAATAATTTACGTCGATTCGTGTCTGTATTCGTTTAATAAACTCGTAGAATGCTTGACGTGCAAACGATGAATTCATCTGAAAGCGTCCCGGATTACTTAAATAAAAATATATTCCCGACTTTATTAAATGCAATGGAGGAAATGTTACTTGAAGCTGATCGTCGAAATGCGTTAGAAGTATAATGTTGCATTAGATATCGCGTGTATTTTTAGGATCAATAAATACAAACGATATCTTGAAAAAAAAAATTACTATACTTTATAGACACATAAATGCTCTTTTAATGGATTGGATTATCTTGCCGAGATTCTTTGGAATCGAAACTCGCGACATCCGAGTAGATTGTGCACTTGGCAAGGCGTATTTGACATACCACAATTCAAGCTATGGCTAAAGTTGCAGTAAGAAGAAAACATATCCCGGTTTTTAAAAATTCTATTTTATTTTACACCATTTTTTAAGTCCCAGGCCAATTTATTCAAAATCGTGGTTGTGGACTAAAGAGGAGGCCGCCTCACATATACAGAGATATGTTCGTGGTTGGCTTGTTAGAAAAAATACGGATGTTCAGGAGATGCGTCAGTTTTGGAAGGTATTGATATAATTAAGGAATTGAAAAATGAATAATGGTTCTTGCATAAATTGTAGGTCATTCGTGCAGAAAAAATGGACGCTCCCGAATTTAATTATATATCCAATGAAATGGAGCTTTAAGAATCGGATTGTTTTCTTTTTACGTTGTTTTCTCCCTAGAGTAATTTATTGCTTCTTTCTTCAGAAATAATTTATAAAATATTTATTCTTAACAACTATATATATCAACATTAAATGTAAAACCTCACGAGGCTGCTGTCTCTTCTGGCTTTGGGAAAAGTGAACTAGACTCGTCCATCTTAAAGTTCAGTTTCACCGTTGGGGTTTCACTCTCCTCAGCTACTCTGTAACTCTTAAAATCTGTTGCTGCGAGATTATACCGAAGATTTAATTTTGGCTCTGCGGACACTGCGATGCCTTTTGCCTTCATCTGATTTATTATCAATTGTGAGAATAACGGTGGAAAGTCCGTTACCCTGGGTAGGATTCTCTTCTCCATTACCTTCGTGTTATTAAGAAATATATGCTCCTGATCCTTAGGAACCAACACATAATCTGCCTTGTAAGTCGAGCTATCCAGTTGCACTGGTTTCGAGCTTCGGTTGCCACGGAAGACTTTCTCAACTAACGCTATAACTTTGCGGTCGGTCTGAAGCAATGCAACTATGTTAGAAGATGCAACACAAATTAGAATTATCTGGTATATTGCATGCTTTCCAGCAAGATGACGCAAGAAGTCTGTTCTTTATCAAAATACTTTCTGAACTGGTACACATGATGCATATAAATTGAAGTGAAAGAAGTATAATTTGATTCAATCCAACTTATATGTACCATGTGTACCAGTTCAGAGAGTTCTTTGATAAAAAAACAGACTTAACGTAATACAATGAATCATTATATTTTTAATGATTGCCAAATTTTGATTACCATATTAAACAAAAATGAAATGATTACTATTACATTGGGTGCGCTTAGTCCGCGACCTATACGATACGTGTCTTTGTTTAACTTACAAGATAAACAAGGACATCTATTGTATAGGTCGCGGCCTTAATTACCGCACGGTGTAAACGTAGCCACGTGGTCTCTCAGTCTCTCTCTTGCTGGAAAAACCAACCATTGTTTTTAGCACTTACATAGGGTCGGTCGGGCAAGGGCATCCCAGCGACCTTCAGTATTTTCATGTAACAGGGCTCGGGATATCTCTGAAAGCGATTCCTTATCACGAGTCTGCCAACGCCAAAGTTCTTCAAGTTTGCAACGATTTCCCATAAGGGCTTTCCCTTGAAATCCGTCGTGCGACCGATTAACTTTATAGGCATCGTGTACAGTTGATCGGTAAACGAGTGCCGGATTCACCGTCCTGACTCCACAAATTTCCCTCCTGCTGATTAATTCTGTGTACCGAGTTGCTGCCCCGATTCTTTCTTAATGTCGTCCTCGATTATCCGTGAGATGCAACATCGAGATCAATGTCTACGTTATGAAAACTATGCGTATTTCGTATAACGATAAACAGTGTTTTGAGTAAGATTGCAAAAGAGGTTACGGAGTGGATACTTTTTAATTCTGATGGAAAGTGGTAGATGGCGGCACAAGTATCGAAATCGTTCTCGGGCGTTTTCGGAAGCGGTCGGCGCAGCTCGGCTCGGAGTGACGCTCTCGCCGATTCAAATTTAGTATTTTTCTAGTGCGACGATGTCGCGAACAATGCGCGTAATATCGATTATGAGAGGTAAGTTGAATGGCTTTTCTAATGATAAAATGTTCGAAAAGACATCCGAAAGGCATCCTTTGATCTTTCAGGTATCCTGTAAAGATATAAATAGATCTATCCAGTAAACGAGAATGGATTGAAATGGATTGAAATGGATTCAGATTTTCAGAAATATGGATTCACGAATGTTAAAATGCTTTTCAATCCTGAATGCATTTTTATTCATTTATAGGAATTACATGGAGCATATCTCTATGCCTTTCAATCTAAAAATAATATCAGCTTTTTCTGTGCATGAATATTATGAATACTGTTTAATTCAAAATTTTGAATAGGAAATGCAGATTTTCAATCCAATTGCATCCAATTGAATTCAATTAAAAATCCAAAAAAAAGTATTCGCTATTTAAAATACGCATTCGGATAGTAAAAAATTTCAATCCATTTTTAATTAATTTAATTCATTTTCGTTTACTGGGTACACATCCTCTCGTGTGTTCGAGAATATCCAAATTCGCTTAGAAGCGTAACTCTTCGAAAACCGTTGCAAGATGACGGAAACTTGCGGTCGCGATCGTCGCGACTTTATTCAAACGAAATTCTCTTTCTCTCAGGACAAGGTACCTTCAAGAAAATGTCGAGATATTATCGTCCCTGCAGCACAAAGTTACACGAAAGTTGCAGCGACACTGCTGCAACATTGCAGCAACATTACATATATTGCAGCAATATTGCAGAGATTTTGCAGCGATATCGCTGCAAATTCTGTGCTGTATGGGGTCTGTCACGTTTAAATCGCTATTGTCGTCGTTTTTCCTTTTCGCCTGATATTCAAATACTTATTCTTACGATAAAAATTCGATTGCAGGTTGCACGCGTGCGCGCGTAAATTCCGAGCGATTCTCACACTTTTCGATTGATCATAATTACGCGGCATCGGGGCAGAGAAGCGGTCGTAGAATACAGAAGTGTATGTGTGTAAGTTATTTATTAAATGATAAATATAATATATAAGCAGTTGCAAAGAAAATGCATTACTCGACGATCCGATCGCTCGAATCAGACTTCGCGAATTGCGTGCCGTGTATCGCTAGCCGGTGCGCAAATGGCGCCGAGGTCGCATGACTTTGGCGCGCGATCAAGGAACTGCGTTCCACTTGGTGTTCGCAACGCTCTTGGAATTATTCGATACTTGTCAAGTGTTAAACAAGGGCTGCATTCAGCAGAAAAAGCCTTGCAACTGTTGTAAAGTTCTTAATATGTATATAATAAATTCTAATTATTTCCATTTAGACACATCTAGATCCAGTGAGAAACTAAGGCAAGACTAATCATATTAAAGAATTTTACAAGAGTTGCAAAGCTAGTTTTTCTGCTTCCGCGCTGAACGCAGCGAAGGACACATATATAATACTCGTGAACGTTGTGAGCGCCAAATGGAACGCATTCCTAGAGATCTATATACAATAAATTAGACATTTTTAAATTAAAAAAAGAGAGAAACTAATTGATGACACAAGAACGAGCAGTAATCGAATAAATATCTCTTCGCTTTGAATCGGCCGCCTCCAAGTGAAATTCGCTCATATACAAATAGAATATAAATCGTTTTGATATAAAATATATTATATATAAATATGTCTTTCTCTCTATATATGTACGAAATTAAAATATTGTGAACTGTCGTCGCCGATTTTTCCAAATGACAAAAATTGTTTGATTTTGAAGAAATGAAACTTTGCCATATCTTTTTTATATCAAATACGACTTGATTCGAATTTTGTCTTATCAGTAATTCACAGATCCGACAATCTGGTGAATCCAGTCGAGATAGTGCGAGACGCGCGTGTAGACGCCAGGCACGTTCGATTGACCGCAACCGATGCCCCAGGAGACGACGCCGGCCAACTGCCAGTGGCCCTGACGCTCGCAGACCATGGGACCACCGCCATCACCCTTGCAGGCATCCTTGCCCTCCTCGCCGCCGGCGCAGATGAAGCCCGGATGAAGCATGAAGCTGAGTCCTAGCCGCGTCTGCCTCATCTGCTGCTCACACACATGGTTGCTGACGACAGGTAGGTTCACCTCTTTCAACACGTTAGAATACTTGGAGCGATCGTCGAAAGCGTCCTTGCCCCATCCGGTGGTCCAGCATCTGCCATACGTTACATTAAATTTCAATTAAAGCGCACTGTGTTTAGGAGCGAAAGTCCGTTCGGAAAGATTTTCGGTAATAGGAATTTTTTTTTAATCCATTAGAACATGATTTGTTATTTATATCAATTTTTCTGAAATATTTGCTGCTTCTTCTCGCGTATATGAAGCAACATTAAGTATTTACGAAAAATAAGAGATAATTAATGTAATTGCTACGTTTTTTTTAATAATACTAGGCTTTAAACTTTAAAATTTATTAAATTCCGGAAATTATATTAAGAATATTATAGCATTATAATAGCTGTATAGGCTTAAAGATATAAAATATTCTATCAAGAAACACGTTTTATGTATGTATATCCCAAATTATTTCATGTTATAAGTATTTATCTACAAAATTTTTTGTCACTATACCGATATCAATTATTTAATATAGAGAAATATTTGATATATGTGAATTTATGGATTATAAGAATTGAAATTTATTAATCTTGAATTTAGAAAAAATTCTCGCTACACACATATATACATATTAATGAGAAATTTTTTAAATAATTTTTTTCGCAATGTGATCTCTTCTGTTTTGTAAATTATGGGGAATACGCACCTTGTTCCAGTGAAGTCGTCGTATTTATTTGGCAAACAGGCTGGGCTAATGTGAGGGTTCTTTGTGAGATCGACGTCATGGTCCAGCGTCAGAATGGCGATGTCGTTGGCAAGAGTACCAGCGTAGTACTCAGGATGCACGAAGACACTCACGATGTCGCGTTCGATGTAGGGGTAGAACTCGACGTCGTGATTTACATCCCATTCGCCTAATCGTGCGCGAAGATCACGATGGACATGGGTCTTGATGCAATGAGCAGCAGTAATGATATGTCGGGACGAGATCAAAGTACCTCCGCAAACGTAGACACTTTCCGTGGTGATCTTCTTCAGAATAGCTACGTGCCACGGGTATTCACCTAAATTAAGAATAATTTAATATATATATATATATATATAGCAATAATATAATTTAATATTGCCATGTAATGAAATATTTAAAATTATTATATAATGCATATGTGTGAAAAATATTTCAAATAATATCATATTGTTAAGCAGTGAAAATGCATATGAAATTATATATCAAGTATTTAAAATTTAAAGCATATTAAAAATTAATGTTTGAAAAATTTAATATTGTAGTAGTAATATTAAATTCGCGATAACGATAACTGGTCTCTGCATTCAGGAACGTTATTAAAATACATGTACGCATATTTATTAATTTGCGATCGATACGCAATATCAGTTAAATGTTTGCTATTCTTGAAATTACAACAAAAAAGGGAGAGTTATTTTTATGTTTTCTATCTTAATATTCCCAAGAGAGAGGCGCGGGTATTTCTCCAAAACTCTAATTCAAATTATTGACAGTATCTTTTTCTATAAATGCTATCCATTCAGTAAATTGTATTAGGAGTCGCGTACCAAATTCGGATTCTCCGTCGACGTAGATTGGGGTCTTGATACGGCCATTGATGCCCTGTGCGTTTCTAACTCCACATTGACCGTGTTTTACTCCTATTATCTGCGATCTTGGGCAGCAGACGTGATAAGAATTGCAAGCCGGACGTCCGTATCGTCTCTGCGAATAGAAAGGGATCGGTCAATTGATTTCGTCCCGACGTACCTGCGACCAGTTCTACTTATCGTGTTCTCGACTTCTATCTGTGCTATACACCGCTGCTCAGTTTGACAGTCTCGCGTTTCGTAAGTTCGCAGAGTCGGTATCACCGTGATCGTCATCCTGAGTCATCCGCCGACGGCCTCAGCCGCTTTACAGCGGCTCTACAACCTCGTTATTACAACGGTCTGTTCAGCAGAGCGAGCAGACCAACCAACCGTATTCTTACCTCCGACGTCGTTTCGCTAAACGCCGTGTCGCGTCTCCTTCTGTCTGAGAAGGTAATCTTCCCGCTCTTCTGTCGTTCGTTGCCGGTCAGTCCTTCCGACGAAACCTTCGACAGATCCTTTGTCAAGAATTGTCTACCTTTCGTCGTTGACGCGTTTCTCGCACGTGTATTTCTATAGTAATCATCCTGATAATCATCCGAATAATCGTTATAGTCATCGTAATCGTTGTTATCGTCCTTGTATAAATAGGAAGGATAGTATGTTTGTCCGCTGTGAGGCTTGTAATAGATCGGTTCGTGATGATGAATATTGTGCGATGGATAGAACGGCGGTCTGGACGGATAATGATAGATCGGTCTCTCGTGATGCGTGTGATAATGAGGAGGGTAACCGCCGTAATGACCGCCATAATGACCACCATAATGACCGCCGTATAGTCCATATTTCTTGTGAGCCAGGAGATGGCCTAGCTTGTGAATAAGTCCTGGATTGGGCGTTACATGAAGGTTCACGTAAGGCTTGATGACCTTCTCGCCGTACTCGTCTTTGGTGACCTGCACCGCTACGAGCGGATTCACGGCGACCGGACCTAGATTTATGCCCTGTCCGCCAACCAGCCCATAGCCCGGCGTGTACCCCGGGATTCCCAGGGGATAACCAGGGTGGGGCGCGATTGGACCGACACCACCGGTTTGCGGTAGGCCGAAACTGACGCCCCAAGTCGGCTTCACGTTCAATTTCGAGTTGTCCAGATTGCCGGTTCCTACCGTCAGTCTCTGCAACGAGAGAGACGAACAAATTCACGTAGAATCGAAGTCTATTTCTCTTTCTCTCTCTTTCATCTCGATTCCGTTTTTTTTTTCGGGAGAATTAACACGTTGATTATAGTCGAAACTATCTCGTCGCTTTTCCTCACACTCGCTCGCGCTTTATTAAAATTCGTTCGACCCAGATCATACGAGTCCCGATGTCCTCCACTACGACGGCATTTAATCTATATATCGTTTCTAGTACGGAGGTTTAATTGTACGGTTGCGTTGTCTAGGACAAACCGACTGACTGAGCGTGCCAAACTGAGCGACGTGTTACAGAACAAATATGGCGCTAAATATTTGTTATAAGTAGCATGCATTTTACACGTCCGATAATTTAATCAATACACGAGTCGAGCTTCCGATGCGAATAATTTTGATTAATTTATAATCTAAATTTTAATCTCTGATCTAAATATCTAAATAACAGTCGAAGTTTGATAATTTATACATTGATTGTCGCATCGTCCGCTCGGAACTCGCAAGAAAAGCGAGAGAAACAGTTCGTGTCAACTTACTTCTTGTATCTCCTGCCCGTCGTCCTTCTTGGTAACGTGCTTGATATCCCTGCTTCTTCGCTTCGTGTTTTCCGTTTTCTCCGTCTGCTCGTTTTTCGTTTGCACGATCTGCTCGGTCTCGTTTGCTCCCTTGGGCACCCTTACGACAGTCATTGTGCCGTTTCCGTCGGTGATTACTACCTCATCAGTTTCGGCCTCGATACCCTTGTCGAGATTACGCGGATCGATTGCCAAGTAGAGATCGTCTTTACGGCCTACGTTATTGGATGTCAAGCATTGATCGTATGGCACGCATACGCAATCGTCATATGACGAGGAACCGAAACTGTTGTCGGCACCGTTATTGAACGGATAATCACCGGGGGAACCACCATTCTCCAAGAATTGACTGGAGAAAAATTGTCCACCGGGAGTAAACTGTTTGCCGTTCGGCTTCACATAAGTGGGGTAACGATCGGCATAACCCTTTGCGATCGAGGAAGAGCCCGACGGGCCATTGTTGCTCGTGGGCGTTTTGATGTTGAACGTTTTCTTATAATCTTCGAAATCATTGATCAAACCGCCGTAAGTACCGCCGTTTCCATAACCATAATTGCCGATGCCACCGAATGTAGGAGATGATGCGACTACGGTGGGATTGTGCGCCACGGTGCCATCGACGTCCCCGTGATGGTAATGATGATGAACGTGTTGCTGAACACCTGCGGCAGTCGGTTGATGGAGGACCACCTGCTTCTTATCGATAAATTTATCCTCGAAATCGGACTCGATGCTAGGTTCGTATATGGGTTTGGGCCCTAATGGTCCAATTGGGAAAGGCGGGCCGGGTTTTTTGTATCCAGGATAAGGCCCGACAAAGACAGGCGGAGGTCTACCGAATGTCGGTCCGGGTCCAGGAAAAACGTTGGGTCCCAGCGAAGAACCAAAACTAGGAAGTGGTACGGGTTTCGCTGGACCATAAGGTCGTTTCACGGGTATGGCCGGAAGTGGACGGCCTACTGGCTTGATGGTCACCGGTTGAGCATAGATGACATCGTGGGGATGAATATCGCGGTGTGGAGAATAGTAAGGTCGTCGTTCTTCCACCTCTTCGCACTGTATAAAATAATTAATACGATGTTTTTATAAATATGGTTTGAATCTCGTAAAAGTCATAATTAAATACATAAAATATAATTTTTGAGCTCTCGAGACTTAATATTCCAGAGACCATATATTATGAGCGACTCAGTACAACACAATGATCATCTCATCTTTGTTTAACATTGGTGAACAACAAGGATGTAATGATGCTCTGTGTCACACCGTATCATATGTGTCTCTTGTTGGAAGACACCCTATATGTATATGATGTTTGCAGAGAATTAAACAGGAAAGTTTCGGAACGTTAATTATGCTCATATTAATAATACTTATAAAGCAATACGACGCGCGCGTATAAGTTGTAGTTCTTAAGCGTTTATAACTAACTTTCAAATTTCTCAAAGCAGAAAAGAAATTTAAAATGCTAATTATATTTCTAGCGATTAAAAAATTTAATCGACTTAGAGAACTGTACTTACGTTGATCAAACTGAGAGAGCAAAGCTTGTCCTTGATGAAACTACGTGCGAGCGTATCATTGTCAAGCTGCAGAGCATTTTTTATTTTAGGATCAGAATAAATTTCATTATATTCCTCAAGATTGCGACCTTGCCGACTAGATACGATAATATTATCGATCACAGAATCAATCTGTAATTGAATATACAAACATATTCGTATATTCATTAACTATTATATTTCTTTAAAGTGATACACACACACACACACACACACACACACACACACACTCTAAATATGAAATATATACTTTACTTTGTCAAAAATTTACGTTTCTGATTTTAATTAGCTTTGTAACGTTTAACGTCAAATATTTTGCAATAACGATAAAATCCTTACTGATTGTTGACCAATGACGTTGGCCACTCCACTGCCACTCGATTGAATATTCGCATTGTAAAGCAGCGGTTGTTGCGTCTCTTTCTGTTGTGAGGTATCAGAGTTGTCGAACGTGACGAAATCACGCTTTTCTTGTTTTTCGTTTGAGGCTTGGTTGAAGTCTTGATTATTCCACGGCTGCCATTGTTGCGAAGAGTCACTCGGCGTCTCGTACACTTGAGTACCAAATACTTCTCTCGCTATTGCTAAGCAAACTATCAGGACCAATTTCATCCTCATCCTACAACAAAAGACGACAAAAGGATCAGCTTTATATCTTTCTTTGTGATCAATAAATAAATTATTTTCTTTAACTTTTGATCTTATCATAATTTATAATTTTAACCAAATATTTGATTTTAGTATTAAAATTTATTTTTTTATATATTTTTTAATTTTTCAAATATTATAATATATTACATATTATACAGGATGTTTCCAAATTAAATGGCAAAACTTCGGGAGCGTGTAGAGGAGTAAAAAACTAAGAAAAAAAGTCCTATAGACATATGCTCGTTTTTGCTCCGTTTCAGAGAAATCGAAAAAAAATGTTTACATTTCTTGCCATATCTAGCACCGACATATTTGATTACATTT